AATAGTTGTTAGAAGAGAAACTCAAATCAAAATTCCTTAACCAGCTCATGGAGACTTCTTCCAAAGGCATTTTAATAACCTACTGAGAATTGCCTTATTTTGTAGACCTGTGATTTAAATTAGAAATAAACCAACCAAATCAGCATATAGGAGAATGAGCTAGAAACAAAAGAAGAAAACAAAAGAAGTAAAGTTTGTAAAGTTTGATTTAAGGAAAGCAGTATTGTATTTGCTTAAACCTTGGAAATAAAAAAGAAATCAAGATTTTAAATGTTTAGAAGATTTAAATTTTAATTTAAAAGTAGATATAAAATTTTAGATTTTAGTAGAGAACAGAAGGGAAATAGTGTGAAATTTGGTGCTGATTATATACATAGTGAATAGTTTAGAATAATCATGGGAAGCATGATACCGGGAATGTCATTTGGAAAGCCTGAGCAGTAGGGGAAAGAATTTCCTGTTAAGAAGGATAATTTGAACAAAGGATTTGGCAGGTACATATAGAGAATAAGTTTTGTATTCAAGAGATAATAGTGAAAGGCAGAATTGAATATGTAGGTTAGGATCATAGCTATAATTACAGTACATACATTACAGTACAGTTAAACCCTGTAAGGCTCATAATTAGCTAATTATTAAAAAGATATGGTAAACTATTACCCCAAAACACAAAGACGAATGACTCGTGAATATGAATGTTAAATCACATGTAACTCTGATAAATAACACTCTGATGAGGTCTTGTTGTAAGCATTTCTCTCTCCTTAGAAATATCTTAGTACTGCAGCCCATTGCTATGTCTAGATTCCAGGCTCCTATTATGATCAATAGATGTTTGGAGGAAGAAGCTGAATAATTGAATTACATCGCTACTCACCTAAGGTGAACAAGAAAATAGAAGCAGTTGAAATTGGTTAGAAACTATGCTTATTTAGTATTTTTATTAATTATAAATCAGTTTTGATCTCTGAAGGCATATATTATTGAAATCTGATATTTTAATATTTATTTCAATTATAAGCTCCACAGATAATATGAAAACTCTGGTACCACCATCATGAATACTTTACCTCTTACATGCTCATTATTTTTCCTTTTCTTCTTGCCTCATATTTACCCACAGCCAATATTCAGGAACTTTGATACTCTGATGGCCTTTGATGTTTGGAGACTACACTTAAACATAGTGGAAATATTTTGATCATTTCAGTAGGTTGTGAAATATTAATGTTTATATTTCATTCTTGCCCACTAGGAAAGCAGAATCAAAGTGTTTAAATAGTAAAAATATCTGAATATGAATTAATTATGTGGACAATTTAAGTATGGCAATAATTTACGTTACTTATGATGAACTTTTAATATTATTAATGATAAAAGCAACTCACATTTTAAAAAAATTAGTGTGTCCCTCTTTTAAAAAAATGAAATCTGAATCAGATATGTAATTTTTAAAGAAGTTAAGAATGAAGTTTTTCTCTCTTTGAAGAAGGATAGAAAGAAAGAAGAACAAGATGTATTGGCCTCATCGTTACTTCCTGCCCTGGAACCAAAATTACCTTTGAGACATCCTAAAATTACATACAACAAAGTTTGAAAATGTGGTCTCAAGTAGAGATGGGTGTGGAGCATAAGAGGGATACCTTCCAAGTACAGATAATGTTACAACATTGTGGGGTATTTTTTCATAGTTAATTTGAAAAAAACCTTTCCCTTATGAATCTGGAGAAGAAAAGAGACATTCAGGATGTGAAGGCTATCTTCAGATATCTGAAGACAAATGCCTTCTAGGAGTAGCTTGATATGTTTTGCACATAGCCCATTTGTATCAAATTTAGACAAGTGGATGGAGAAGCCAGAGTATAGATATCACACCTTTTCAACATGAGGAAGAACCTGCTGCTTCAAATGGGATTGGGTGGCCCAAGAACAGAGTGAGTTTGTGATCACTGTCTCCTTGTGTGAAACTTGGAGATTTTTAGCAGGGATTCTCTAAGGGTTATCTATTGTGTGAGTTGAATAATTCTTTCCAGACTTGAGATTCAGTGCTTTTAATGGAATACCAGACTTACAACAGTGATGTTTATCTTGAAGATTTATTTTTATAATAGCTTCAGGAAGAAAAATTAGATTTATATTTATACTTGAGTAAGTATTTCCCCAGAATTTATATAATACCTTAAGTATAACATATACAATATTTTTTAAAACAAAAATTAAGATTTTGGCTCTGTTCTAACAACCCTTCTCCATGTGGGCAGTGTAACGTCCCCTCCACTTTTGCTTCCAGTGGTCTGTGACTCTGGTTTCCTTTAATAGAGATGGTCAGTTTAAAGGAGAGGCTTATCTATAGACATATGAGATAATCCAGCTTCATGGAACACCTTGGAGTCTCATCTCCTTTAACTTATGAGTAAAAGTCTACTTAACTTCCTGGTATTTTTATTTTCCTCAGTCTTACCACATGGAATTATTTTGTTCTTTGATCCAGATTTATTCTTTCTAGGTCCCTAGACTTTGCTTTCTGGTTATAGTTCAAACATTTTTGTCTATTTCTTGTTTAAGCTGAGATTCTTTCATTTAATGTAGGCACTATTATATTTTTCAACTGATGGTGATTCCACTCTACACATTTTAAATCATTTATAATTCTCTGCCTACTCTAGCAATTGACCTTTCCTGAAATAATCTCTAATTCAGTAGAGGTCATTATTCCTAAGTCTTTTTCCCTATCCTGCCCTAGTCTTTTTTTCCCAGGAGCTTTATTCAGTATCCTAAACAGATGGTTGATTGTCCCCAAACTAAAAGCCTTACCCAGGTTTACAAAGCCCATGATCTGGCTGTTGCTTACCTTTCTGATCTCATTCCAGATTACTCTTCTCCCAGTCCACTATATACAGCTTCATTGGCCATTGTGCAATTTCTTTATCAGACCAAGGTGGTTCCAGCCTGAGGCCTTTGCAGCAGGCTGCAATGCTCTTTACTCCTGAGTTTTGTATGACTAGCAACTACCAATATTTTGATATCTCAGTTTAAATTTTACTCCCATAGATATGTCTTCCATAAAAACCTAAACAGAGTAGCCTTTACATATTACCCTACTTAAACTTTCTATGGTTTACTCATATCTATATTGTATTAAAATTATTTATGTATTTGCATTATTCTCCATCTCCCACACAAGAATGGGTGATTCATTAAAGTAGGTATGTTATCTGTTTTGTTCACCAAAATCTCAAGCACCTAGAAAAGGACCTGGCATATAATGGGAAATCAAAGCATATTTGTTGAATGAATGAACAAGTAAATGCATGTTCCATCACTCCGAATGTCCTTATATGTTAATTTGGCTGAGGGTGAAATCTTTCAACTTTATTATAACTGAAGCTTGCAAGATAAATAATAGCTTTATAATCTTTTCCTAATTTCCTGCCATAGAGCAGTAAAAAAGGTGTTAGCAAAAACATACCTGCATATATTCATGTAAAAATAATAAAAAATTAGTCACATTGTCATTTTGGATAACAAAGAGAATGATATTTTGGAAGTTAAAAGATCAGAAAAGATGCCACTGGAGGTAATTATTTAGAGATTTTAATTTTCACAGTTTTTTTGGTCTTAAAACTTGTTTCCTTCTTTGACACCTTTTCATTCACATGAACTATCAAAATAGCACTCAGATTACCTCTTGCCTAGATATTTTAGTACACTTTATAATGAGTTTAAATAAAAATGTTGTTTAAGGGTGATGCCTTAAAGTTATATTCTAAACTTTTTCATTGTAGATGGATTGTTTGACAGATTTCTTAATATAATTTTTATTTTCTATAAGAGCTGTATCATTTGTTGTGATTTGGAGGAGAACATGTTTTTGACTCTTAATTTGCAAATATTTTATATATCAAGAAATTGTAGCGGTACTTTATAAACTTCCCGTGTTAGAAAGATGATCTAGAGTTCTCTTGCTTTATCGAATTTCTTAGTTTCTCTCCTGACTATTGAATGGTAGCCCTATAGCATTATTATCATGTTTTTAATATGCATGTTATAATGTTAAAAATAATTATGTAAAGCAAAATCTTCTTCCTTGTAAAGTCTTTTTCTTTCTGTTAATAGAAGCATTTTCATTATCACTCCTATTTATTACACTAGTTGCAATTAGTGTAGAGGAATATGTATCTGTACCAATTCACCAAAAAAACAAAATCCTGTACTTATATTGTTCTGTTTTTCATATCGTATAATGTATGACTGTTTTGTGAATATTAAAAAATAGTCATGTTTGTGCAATTTTATTTTTTCATTATTGTCTTGGTCTTCCATATTTATTCATTTATGTAATATGTACCATTTGTCAGTAAAATCACTGTGTATGTAAATGGCAAAAATGTATGTATATCCTTTTCACCCTAATGTCCATCACAGACCTTAATATAGCATCTTTCCAAAAAGGTTAAGTGACCCGAAACATATAAATAAATATAAAACAATCCATGTAAGTGTAACAGTACAGCAAACGAAACTAATAAAAAGAAAACCTCTCTGAAACTTTCTTCACCCATTACTTTATCAAGCTTTTCATGTGTAAATATTTAGTTCAATAACCAGTATTTTTATTGACACAGATATTAGTGCCCATAAATTATAACAGAATGCTGTGAATCTTTAACAAATATAAATAATCTTTATATTTTTTCAGGTAGCTCTCTCTGCTTTCAATAATTATATTTAATTTTTAAATTATTGTTAGGAATTAGGATGAGGTTTTTTGCTTACTTAAGACTGTGATTAACTAGGACAGAGTTATACAGTCAGTATCACACTAGCGACTAGGGGATACGATGTCCTCAGCTCCAGGGTTGTCTGTGGGGCCTGGGGTGGTGGAGTCCTGGGCCTATGGCCTGCAGCAGAGAGCAGCCTGGGAATAGCCCCTAGCAGGGCTCCTCTGAGGCCGGCCTGAGCTGAGCGGAGTCTGATGGTGCGCCCTGCGGTCCCCGCAGGTGGCAAGCACAGTGAGCGACATCCAGCCCTTGCTGCTCCACTGCGACATGCTGAGCGCAGCCCAGGAGGCGCTCTACCTCCCAGACATCTCCTTCAGCAGCCAGCTGCGGAGCGCGCCACTGCTCATCGTGGACAAGGGCCCCGTGGAGCTGCCAGAGGAGTTCGTGGTCCAGGTGCCCAAGGAGCTCAGATCTCAGCCCAAGGTGCGGCCAGCGGTGGGAAAAGAGGGCTGCGGGTGGCTGGGCAGGGGCTCCTGGGAGGCGCAGCCTCAGGCAGTGGCCCAAGTGTGTCTTCTCATATACTTAGTCTCTGCATCCACTCATAGTGGCTGATGTTTGCACCCACTGATATCCTGATCTGTTGTTGAACAATGCATGCCTGTTCTACATTAGAGCCTCATCACTATCTCAGAACGTTTGACTTTAAATTTCTGATTGGATTTGAAATATTTTTGCATTATCACAGGAAGTTTACAATTACTCTTAGTGACAATGTCAATGGTTGTAAAATTTGAATGGTTGTAAAAGACATGTTTTAACATTTCTGATCATCTGCTTGTTTGAAATAAAATTCACATCAGTGGAAACTACCAAGATTTTTGAGGAGATTATGGTGAAAACATCTTGGTTAGGAATTGTGTATAGTCATCTAAAGCATAAAACCTGATAGAAAAGTGATTTTTACACAAGCAACCTAATTTTCTTATGAAAATGTTGGAAAGTGCTTTATTTATAATATTATCTCTGCAGCTGGCAAGTACAGTGAGTGACATCCAGCCCTTGAAGTTCCAGTGAGGAATATTATACAATATTTGTACAAAATTCAATACTGTTCTTTTCCTCAATACTTTGTATATATACTTTTTACCTTTATGTAATATTTAGGCAATATAATTTTTCTTTTTACTTACCAAACTCAATACAGCCACTCTTATCCCTCTAATTTCCCTCAGGGAATATAATATGTATAATGTAATATAATATAACATCATAATATACAAGCATTATATAATATTTATATGTTTATTAAGTATTTATATAATTATATAAATATTATATTTGTAATTTTCTTTGTGTCTACAGCATGAAAAAGGCTGAGAAGCATTTGGCAGGTGGAACCATGAGTATCAAGCCTTGTTCCAAAACACACTCACCTCTCCTATAGCGTAATTTAATAATTATACAGGAAATACTGGCAAAGGAACATGAAATGCCACTATATTAGCTGAGCTTATCTTCTAAGCCCCATTACAGAAATCCCTGGTAAAATAAGTTGGAATACTGTGTTTTAGTTCAGGGACTAAGGTTAATGCATCACCCTTTGATCAATTTGAGATTTAAGAGACCTGTGAAATTTAAACCTAACTCTTCAATTACTGCAGCCACATAAAAAGAGTTAAGTGTGTGGTGACTTTCACACTCACAGTGGCTCTGTCCACTCAGTCACATTGTTCAATCAGTGGCCTAGAATCTTTCAGTTCAGATTAGCATTTCTTCCCTAGTGGTGATGATTGGGGGGCAGTGGTGGTGGGTAAGTGCATATGTTTCTACAGAAGCATATGTAGAATTGACTCCAGTGTGTTTGGAAAAATCAGGTAAAATGTATGGTAAACATTCTTTAAGAACTACATTTTTTTCTTTTCTGTTTTGCTTTGCATTACCATTTCAAACCTGAAATTCTCTAAATTGGGTGCAGTTACATTTTTCACAAAATGTGCTTCAGCAATCACAAAGTTTTCATAATACTGGCTTTTAATTTATATTGTAAAATAGTAATATGAAAGTAATATTATTTAATTTACCCAATGCATATATGTTCATCAGTTTCTAGTACTATTGAAGAAGAAATCTAGAAATGAATTTTAATTTTTGAGTAGATGTTATAAATGTTTAAATCAGCAACTATAACATAAACACACACACACACACACACACACACACACACAAACACCTGCTGGCAATTCTGTCTTGTGACAAAAATTTAGAATAGCAGTCAATTAGAATAGTTTTTCCTATAGTACTTTTACTAAGATGTTGGCTGAATTTTTACATTCCCCAACTTTTATAGCTTAATAAGATTTTTCTATATTACGGGCTTTTACTTTTTGCCACATATGTGGCAGATTACAGTGTAGTAATGGGATTAAGTCAGGTTTTCTATCAACTTATAAATAGGAAAATTGTATTCTATTCTGTTTTGGACAAAGACAAAAATGAGGGTACAAGGTAACCTTTACGTGATCTTGTAAATGAAGACTGATGTAAATGTCATGTGATTTAAAAGGAGCCTACAGAATCATGTTAATCTGTTATGATGAGGCCATACTTTTTGAAAGTTGCTTTTGTGCAAAAGTAATTTTATCAGTGAGGTAGAGAACAACTGAAGGTCATCTTAAATGTTCCCTATAGAAAGAATAAAGAAAGTGAAGTAAATATTACAGGGGCATACTCTTTTTTGATATAGACGATAGTACATACAGCTAGAACACTTGGACCGTTATTAAAAATGAAATTAAAATGGGAGATACCACATTACCTTGAGTTCTTCAAATTGAAAAAACATGAAGAATTCAAACTAGAAAATGTCAATGAACTCCAGCTTCCTTCCTTCCTCCCTCTGTCTTTCTAAAACAAAAGCAACAGTATGTTATAGAAACAAGATAATTTAAGATTTAGAAAAATCAGAAAAAAATGGAAATAATGAAGACGGATACTAATGCAGTCTTTGACTGGAAAATAAAATTGTGATTACTTTGAAAAAGTTAATCGGGCTTCCCTGGGGGCGCAGTGGTTGAGAGTCCGCCTGCTGATTCAGGGAACACGGGTTCGTGTCCCGGTCCGGGAAGATCCCACATGCCGCGGAGCGGCTGGGCCCGTGAGCCATGGCCGCTGAGCCTGCGCGTCCGGAGCCTGTGCTCCGCAACGGGAGAGGCCACAACAGTGAGAGGCCCGCGTACCGCAAAAAAAACAAAAAAAAACAGTTAACCTCTATTTGTTCTATCGATAGCCAAACAAGCAAATAGAAACCCAATACACACAGCCTTAACAATATAACAAAAACCCTTTTATTTGTTTGAAATTAAACTTTGCCCCTTTTTTCCCCTTTACATTCATTTGACTTCAGATAGCTAATAGCAGTTCTTGAGAGTTAATGAGTGTTTGGATTCACAGGAATTAGGACTTCACAGTAGAGCAGCAAAGCATGAAGAATTAAAAAACATTGTTCTCAGAAGACCTTTTTCTGTTTAGCATACGAAGGCAGAAGAAAGTCTGAGGGCAGATTGCACAGTTAATGACTAGATATCACGACATTTCCTTGAAGCTAAAGGAATGTTGATGTGTTTTTTATCAGCATTTTCCTTGCTTTAATTGTGATTTTCATGCAGATGCTTAAAAAGTTCATTGAGATGATCTACAAATAACCCTCCTGAAAGCCATACGTACAGTATGCAGGGCTCATACAAGTGTTCTCTCAGAGTACAGCTAAAGCATTTCAATCCTGACAAGTCATAAAAACTCTATCTACCCTGTGCTCATTTTTTTTTTTAACATCTTTATTGGAGTATAATTGTTTACAATGATGTGTTAGTTTCTGCTTTATAACAAAGTGAATCAGCTATACATATACATATATCCCCATATCTCCTTCCTCTTGCGTCTCCCTCCCACCCTCCCTATCCTACCCCTGTAGGTGGTCACAAAGCACTGAGCTGATCTACCTTTGAGATGTGGCTGCTTCCCACTAGCTATCTGTTTTACATTTGATATTACATATAAGTCCATGCCACTCTCTCACTTCGGCCCAGCTTACCCTTCCCCCTCCCCATGTCCTCAAGTCCGTGCTCTACGTCTGCATCTTTATTCCTGTCCTGACCTAGGTTCTTCAGAACGATTTATTTTTTAGATTCCATATATATGTGTTAGCATACCATATTTGTTTTTCTCTTTCTGACTTACTTCACTCTGTAGGAGAGACTCTAGGTCCATCCACCTCACTACAAATAACTCAATTTCGTTTCTTTTTATGGCTGAGTAATATTCTATTGTATATATATGCCACATCTTCTTTATCCATTCGTCTGTTGATGGACACTTAGGTTGCTTCCGTGTCCTGGCTACTGTAAATAGAGCTGCAATGAACATTGTGGTACGTGACTCTTTTTGAATGATGGTTTTCTCAGGGTATATGCCCAGTAGTGTGATCGCTGGGTCGTATGGTAGCTCTATTTTTAGTTTTTTAAGGAACCTGCATACTGTTCTCTATAGTGGCTGTATCAATTTACATTCCCACCAGCAGTGCATGAGGGTTCCCTTTTCTCCACACCCTCTCCAGCATTTATTGTTTGTAGATATTTTGATGATGGCCATTTTGACAGGTGTGAGGTGATACCTAATTCTGGTTTTGATTTGCATTTCTGTAATGGTTAGTGATAATTGAGAATCCTTTCGTGTGTTTGTTGGCAGTCTGTATATCTTCTTTGGAGAAATGTCAATTTAGGTCTTCTGCCCATTTTTGGATACGGTTGTTTGTTTTTTTGATATTGAGCTGCATGAGCTGCTTGTAACTTTTGGAGATTAATCCTTTGTCAGTTGCTTCATTTGTAAATATTTTCTCCGATTCTGAGGGTGGTCTTTTCGTCTGGTTTATGGTTTCCTTTGCTGTGCAAAAGCTTTTAAGTTTCATTAGGTCCCAATTATTTATTTTATTTTTTTTAATTTCCATTTCTCTAAGAGGTGGGTCAAAACGGATCTTGCTGTAATTTATGTCGTAGAGTGTTCTACCTATGTTTTCCTCTAAGAGGTTTACAGTGTCTGGCCTTATATTTACGTCTTTAATCCATTTTGAGTTTATTTTTGTTCCTGGTGTTAGGGAGTTTTCTAATTTCATTCTTTTACATGTAGCTGTCCAGTTTTCCCATCACCACTTATTGAACAGGCTGTCTTTTCTCCATTGTATATTCTTGCCTCCTTTATCAAAAATAAGGTGACAATATGTGCATGGGTTTATCTCTGGGCTTTCTATCCTGTTCCATTGATCTATATTTCTGTTTTTGTGCCAGTGCCATACTGTCTTGATTACTGTAGCTTTGTAGTATAGTCTGAAGTCTGGGAGGCAGATTCCTCCAGCTCCATTTTTCTTTCTCAAGATTGCTTTGTCTACTTGGGGTGTTTTGTGTTTCCATACAAATGGTGCAATTTTTTTG